GCAAAGGTCAGGGGGGGTCAGGGGGGACACCCAGAGACCCCCACCCCCCAAAATTCCCGCTTTTGTAGGGGTCACAAAACCGTTCGTATCCATTAAAAAATTAAAATAAAATAAATTATTCCTCGTTTAAAGAGCCCAACCCCCCCCAGGGTGGGGGCAGGGACACAAAGGGACCCCCCAGGGGGGGATTTGGGGGGGTTTTTTTGGGGGGGGGTCGCCCCCAGACTCACTTGTTGCCGATGGTGGTGGCTGAGTGGAGGCTGCGGGGGAGGGGAGCGACCCCGCTCAGGCTCGGCTTGTTCCAGGTCAGCGTCTCTGAAAGACCCCAAAACCCCCCAAAATGTGAGGAAACGGCCCCAAAATGTGAAAAGACGGCCCCAAAATGTGAAAAAACGGCCCCAAAATGTGAAAAAATGAATCCAAAATGTGAAAAAACGGCCCCAAAATGAGAAGGAACGGCCCCAAAATGTGAAAAAACGGCCCCAAAATGTGAAAAAATGGCCCCAAAATGTGAAAAAACGGCCCCAAAATGAGAGGAAACGGCCCCAAAATGTGAAAAAATGGCCCCAAAATGTGAAAAGACGGCCCCAAAATGAGAGGGAACGGCCCCAAAATGTGAGGAAATTGCCCCAAAATGTGAAAGAACGGCCCCAAAATGTGAAAAAATTAATCCAAAATGTGAGGAAATGGCCCCAAAATGTGAAAAAATGGCCCCAAAATAAGAGGAAACGGCCCCAAAATGTGAAAAAATGGCCCCAAAATGTGAGGAAATGGCCCCAAAACTCTTAAAAATTCAAAGAAACGTCACCCTGAGGACCAAATTCTGGCATGTCCCTGACCCCAGACCCCTAAAAACCCTAAAAAGCCCCCAAAAAATCCCTAAAATACCCAAATAAACAAAAAAAACCCCCAAAAAATCCCCCAAAAATCTGAAAAAAAATCCAAAAAATCCCAAAAAAATCTGAAAAAAATCCCAAAAAATCCCAAAAAACCCCCAAAGCCCCTCACCGATGTCGAGGGTCCAGAGATCCCCCAGCCTAAAACCCCTCATGACCCCATAACCACCAATGATCCCATTCCCATGACCCCAAACCGCTTAAAAACCCAAAAAAAACCCCAAAAAATCCTCAAAAAAATCTGAAAAAAACCAAAAAAAAATCTGAAAAAAATCCCCAAAAATCCCAAAAAAATCCCAAAAACCCCCAAAGCCCCCCAAAGCCCCTCACCGATGTCGAGGGTCCAGAGATCCCCCAGCCTGCAGCCGCTCATGCCCCCATAACCAATGATCCCATTCCCATGACCCCAAACCCCCTAAAAACCCAAAAAAACCCCTAAAAAATGCCAAAAAATCCAAAAAAAATCCCCAAAAAATCCCAAAAAACCCCCAAAACCCCCCAAAGCCCCTCACCGATGTCGAGGGTCCAGAGATCCCCCAGCCTGCAGCCCCTCATGACCCCATAACCACTGATCCCATTCCCCTGACCCCAAACCCCCTAAAAACCCAAAAAAAAACCCCAAAAAATCCCCAAAAAATCTGAAAAAAAAACCCAAAAAAAATCTGAAAAAAATCCCAAAAAACCCTAAAAACCCCCCAAAACCCCCTCACCGATGTCGAGGGTCCAGAGATCCCCCAGCCTGCAGCCCCTCATGACCCCATAACCAATGATCCCATTCCCCTGACCCCAAACCCCCTAAAAACCCAAAAAAAACCCTAAAAAATGCCAAAAAATCCAAAAAAAACCCAAAAAAATCTGAAAAAAATCTGAAAAAAATCCCCAAAAAATCCCAAAAAACCCCAAAACCCCCCCAAAGCCCCTCACCGATGTCGAGGGTCCAGAGATCCCCCAGCCTGCAGCCGCTCATGACCCCATAACCAATGATCCCATTCCCCTGACCCCAAACCCCCTAAAAACCCAAAAAAAACCCTAAAAAATGCCAAAAAATCCGAAAAAAACCCTAAAAAAATGCCAAAAAATCCAGAAAAAATCCCAAAAAATCCCAAAAAAATCCCAAAAAAATTCCAAAAAACCCCAAAAACCCCCCAAAGCCCCTCACCAATGTCAAGGGTCCAGAGATCCCCCAGCCTGCAGCCCCTCATGACCCCATAACCAATGATCCCATTCCCATGACCCCAAACCCCCTAAAAACCCAAAAAAAAACCCCAAAAAATCCCCAAAAAATCTGAAAAAAAAACCCAAAAAAAATCTGAAAAAAATCCCAAAAAACCCTAAAAACCCCCCAAAACCCCCTCACCGATGTCGAGGGTCCAGAGATCCCCCAGCCTGCAGCCCCTCATGACCCCATAACCAATGATCCCATTCCCCTGACCCCAAACCCCCTAAAAACCCAAAAAAAAACCCTAAAAAAATGCCAAAAAATCCCAAAAGAATCCCAAAAAATCCCAAAAAAATCCCAAAAAACCCCAAAAATCCCCCAAAGCCCCTCACCAATGTCAAGGGTCCAGAGATCCCCCAGCCTGCAGCCGCTCATGCCCCCGTAGATGACGAGGCGCGAGCGCCGCCCGTCGCGCTCCGTGTACACCACGGCCGTGTGCGATTCCCGAGGAGGAGGAAGGACCCCGTAAGTGATGGGGATGTCCCAGGCCAGCACCCCCGAGCCCGGGCGAAGCTCCAGGACGTACAAATCGTTCAGGTACCTGGGGGAAAACGGGCTTAGAGGTGCTAAAAAATACCCTAAAAGGGGTTTTGGGGTTGTGGGGTGGCCCTAAAAGGGGTTTTGGGGTTGTGAGATGCTCTTAAAAGGGTTTTTAAATTACTTAAAATGCACCCAAAATGGTCCCAAAGTCACCTGTGGGTGGTTCAGAAGGTCAGGAGACCCCAAAGAAACCCCAAAAAGGGTTTTTAGGGTCATGAGATTTCCCTAAAAAAGGGTTTTGGGGTCATGGGGTTGGTTTAAAAGGGATTTTGGGGTCGTGGGGTGGTTCTTAAATCCCATAAAACGCACCCAAAATGGTCCCAAAGTCACCTGTGGGTGGTTCAGGTGTGTGGGGAAGGGGTTCAGAAGGTCAGGAGACCCCCAAAAAAACCCTAAATGGGGTTTTGGGGTTGTGGGGTGGCCCTAAAAGGGGTTTTGGGGTTGTGGGATGTTCTTAAAAGGGTTTTTAAATCACTTAAAATGCACCCAAAATGGTCCCAAAGTCACCTGTGGGTGGTTCAGAAGGTCAGGAGACCCCCAAAAAAACCCTAAATGGGGTTTTGGGGTTGTGGGATGTTCTTAAAAGGGTTCTTAAATCCCATAAAATGCACCCAAAATGGTCCCAAAGTCGCCTGTGGGTGGTTCAGGTGTGTGGGGAAGGGGTTCAGAAGGTCAGGAGACCCCAAAAAAACCCTAAAAGGGGTTTTGGGGTTGTGGGGTGGCCCTAAAAGGGGTTTTGGGGTTATGGGATGCTCTTAAAAGGGTTTTTAAATTACTTAAAATGCACCCAAAATGGTCCCAAAGTCACCTGTGGATGGTTCAGAAGGGCAGGAGACCCCCAAAAAAAACCCTAAAAGGGGTTTTGGGATCATGAGATCTCCCTAAAAAGGTTTTTGGGGTTGTGGGGTTGGTTTAAAAGGGATTTTGGGGATATGAGATGCTTTTAAAAAGGTTCTTAAATCCCCTAAAATGCACCCAAAACGATCTTAAACCACCTAAAACCTTCAAAACCCTAAAAATCTCCTAAAAAAATCCCTAAAAACCCCAAAATCCCCCCGTACTGATACCAAGGATCCATAAATCCCCCATGGATTTGGGGTTTACCCCATAAATTAGGAAAGGTTTTACCCCATACATTTGGAAAGTTTTATCCCATAAATTTGGCATTTGCCCCATAGATTTGAAAGATTTTACCCCACAAGTTTAGAA